GGTGAAGTGTTTGGGTCCTCAAAACACGTTTGGAGTTTCAGGGGTAAACAGTGTTGCAGCCAAACCAATACAACTGAAGTTACTGGTGACCACTTCTTCAAACGTTTTTGGCCTCAATGTCCTCTGTGATGCACACACAAACGCAAGTCCAGAGGATGATATCAGAAGACCTTTAGGCTAAAAACATGGTGTAAATGGCGCCGTTTCGAGTCTGTATTACAGTTGCTTCAATTGTATTGGATTTTGCTGCAACACTGTTTTGAACACTTGAACCCACCCCTTCATAGTGATAAGTAGAATTTTCATTTTGGGGTGAACTATCCTTTAAACACCACTAACTCATCTACACCTGTAAATAAACCTTTCAAATAAGGCGCAGTTAAAGCAGCTCTAACCTGTAGAATCCGCCTGATATCCGTCTTCGTGGTCCAAAGCTGAGGCCTTCACTCCTGTGCTGATATTTCCAGCAGTCCAGGACAAGTTATTGGATGCTACGTTTCTTCCACTTTCATCAGCTTTCTGTAAAATGAAAGGTGGGAGTGTCTCCCCGGGAGAGGCAGCAGATTCAGACCGATGCCCCTGCAGACCCGACCGGTTGGTTTTGCGCAGATTTGCGCTGTGGTCGGTCTTTCCTCCCCAGCGCCACGCTCCATGGATCTGTCCCCACCTGCCACCTGCTGACTCCCGGTGAGCAGGCAAACCATCCCGCTGCTGCCCGAAACTCACCGAGTGACAGAGCTGCAGCGTGTAAAGGAGAAGTGTTAGCACGAATAAAACCAGAGTGGTTTCTCTTTTCTGTTTGGAAAGCATGCTTTGGTTTTTTTGGTGTTTTCTTTTGCTCACACGCGCACAGAGACGTCACCTGCACGCGAGGGTGCACAATTAATAGCCATCAGGAGCGGGACCAATCAGAGAGCTGCAACTGCACAGGCGATTAAAGCTGAAGGAGAGATGCAATGAGATGAACACAGATTGTTACAGACATCGTCTGGTGACTCAATTTACTTTGCACAAGTCATTTTCAGTCATCATCTGTGTGGCTGTTAATAATTTCAACTGCACACAAGCAGAGTGTAAAACACCCTTTTACGTAATGTTTATGAGAGTGAAAAAAAATTCCTGGATCTGCCCCTTGATCTGGATCCACCCCAAAATGTAATGATTTCTTCCTTGAGTCATTCCCCACCCCTCCACAAAATGTCATGTAAATGCCTTGAGTAGTTTTTGTGTAATCCTGCTAAATAACAAACTAAATAACAAACAAACGCACATGAAAAGTCATGAGTTGCAGCCCTCGCTGTATATAGTGGCATGATGAGTCATTTGAAGATCCTATTCATTTATGATTGTATTCATATTCCTTAAATCTCACATACTTGACCTCATGCAGAACTTGAGCCTTGGGATGCTCCAGTGTATTGTTAAAAACATAACGTCTTCAGACATGTCTAACTCACAGTAATACTGTTTTTGTTTTTGTTTGTCTGCTGATAAAGAGAGGAGAGACTCCTGATTGTCAGCTTGTACTGGGGCTGAATGGTTGGTTTTGTGTGAGGAAGAGGCGACTGCTTTATTCTGATCTTAAGTCATAGGTCAGTGGTTTTACATATCCAGTTGCAGATGTTTTCCAATTGTGCTTTTTGAGCATTTCAAACAGAGAGTGAATAATTTTGAGGTTTGCTGAAGAAGTAAAGAAAAAATGATCACATACTATAAATATAATTTTTCTGTTTTCTGCAGATTTAGCTTTAGAAATTGGCCAAAAGTGGCAGTCCCAGACCAAAATGTTTAGATGAGGTGAAGATTAAAAGGTAAAGGGACAGTGTTGAGGTTCATGATTTATTGAAGATGAGCAGAGTCGGTGTGAGTTTACTGGAGTTTCTTGGTTATTGTGTCGATGCATGTTGCAGTGTGCAGCTTCAGGAAGAGACTGGTCTGTGCCTGAGTGGCCCGCGGCAACGAGTGCCTCTGAAAAGCTGTGACGTTTGTGGCTGGAGTCCTGCTGTGAAGGCTGTGGTAATCGATTGGATGCTGTGGGAATGTGCAGAGGCAGTTCAGAGGGAATCGGACAGAAGTTGGAAACTGCAGTGTAAAGTCCCTGAAGGGCACTGGGTTTGTTGAGGGAAGAGGTTTGCTGTCTGTTATATCTTTAGGAAAAGTAGATTTGTGACTGAGAGAGCTTGTAACACAACTATGAAAGGATGCCCTCTTTTTACAGCCTGTACAGATGAGATCTTGGTAGATAAGGAAGTTCCCTGGACAGGATATAAATTTGGAGCATTAAATACAATAAATATCAGAGTTAAAAATTATCGTCTGCATTTATTCCTGGAAGATTTCCCGGTCCTTAATTGAGGTCCTTTCTGTTGCAGCTACCTCTGTATAATACTGTGTCTTTCCAATAGACTTCATAGTGGATGTTAGATTGTCTTTTCTGCGGAGGCGGAATAGAAAACTCCTCTGACTCAGGCGTACAAGGGAAACTATAGCACAGCTCAGCACCCACTCACTGTTCACTGTGAGAACACCACAATCACAGGTCAGATATAATATTTTCAGCCTTGACCTCTGTTCAGACTCTTTATGGCATGGAGAAAATACTCCCTCATCAGTGTATTCCCACACCCTCTGACTATAATATAGCTCCTGAATGATTTTCATCTCAGCAGCGCTATATTAAAGCATTGCATGTTGTTGTGTAACAGAGAAATTTTATTCCCTAAGCAGATATTTGCTTTCAGTGACTCTGAGCCACAGTTAAAGTTTAACACAACTTAACCCCAGTCTATTCCTCTCATGTTATTACATTTGAGTCTGGTGGTGTGGTGGTTTGTATGTTCTTCCCGTGCATGGGTTGGTTTTCTCTGGGTACTCTGGTTTCCTCCCACAGTCCAGACATATAGGCCGGGTGTTGATTGGAGAATAACTCGCCTGTAGGTGTGAATGTGAGTGTAAATGGTTGTTTGTCATTATACGTTGGCCTTGTGATACACTGGCGACCTATCCAGGGTTTAGTCTGCCTCTGGCCCAATGTCAACTGTGATAAGATCCAGCTCCCCCCATGACCCTCAAAGGATAAGTGCTAAAGATATTGGATGGATGGGTGGATGGATGGATGGATGGATGAATGAATGGATGGGTGGATGGGTGGATGGATGGATGGGTGGATGGGTGGATAGATGGATGGATGGATGGATGGATGGGTGGATAGATGGATGGATGGATGGATGGATGGATGGATGAATGGATGGATGGATGGATGGAAAGTTTTTCAAATGACTTTTCCAGGTTTTGACCCCAGCCTCATATTATTTTACTATTTTGACCTGAGTGAACTTCAGTATAATTCCTGATCCTGATTTTATTTCCAGTTTTAGCTCCTGTATTAAAATCTTAAATCTTCAACAGATGAGTGAACGAGCAAAGGGTGCAGTTATACTATCCATCTTCTTCTTACCTCCAGGGGCATAAGGTGGCCATTGTGGATCAAGACTTCCATGCGGTCTTCACTGACAGACCACAGCCTGAGGGAAGATTAGACAGAAGCAGAGATGAGCTGTCAGAGAAAGAAAGACTTTAATCAAATATAAAAATTATCTTTTAATGTCCTTCTATAAACCTCCTTTGTAGGAATGAGACGAGCCATAATCACTTGAGCGTCCTCTCATGTGAGGCAGGTGATAAAAGGCTTTAGCAGATGTTCACTGTCTGCCAAGAAATCTCCAAATAGCATGGTATAATTTAACTACAGCCAACATAACACCTATCTGTTTAAAAGATGACAGTTTGGTCCAATTGTAACAGTTTGTCTTTTATATGAAGAGTCTAGTATGGACATTAAATCCATGCCTCTGGTGGCCTCATGCACGTTTTGATTTCAGTTTTGTGTTCCCTTTTAACAGAATTTCTATTCTCATATATTTCTTTAAATTCATTTTTAGTAAATGTGTTTTCTTTTGTATTCACATTTAACAGTTATTTTCAATTAGTTATTTTTGCTCAGTTTTACTATTTTTTTTCTTTTCTGTTCCCATTTGGCAGTTTCTATTTTTATTCATTTATTCAAATACCTTTTTGACTATATTTTTTTAAATGTCTCTTGCTTTAAATTAATTTTTAATACTTAATACATATTGTTTGTTGTTAGTTTTCGGAGCTCATAAGACACAATCAACTGGTCTGTCTACACTGGTGCATGTGGAGAATGACAACAAAATGAGGACAGACAAGTTTAAGCAGTTGTCCTCTGTGCATGTTTGTATTTACTCCCTCGGGTAGAATTTGAGCCCTGGAGCAGATTACCTTCTTCAAATCACAATTTATTTCCACACAGGTGAAAGCAGCACTTGCATTTATCACATCCTGATGCAGAAAATTATGGTTGTATTTGGCAGTAGGAGTCTCACTGAAGTCCTGTCCACCAGACATCTGTTTTTCCGGGATTGCAAAACTTTACAGTAAATGGATATAACCTAAGAATCAATAAATCTTAAACTTCTTCTGTGTGAAACAGGACTATTCCCATGTCATCATCAGAGCGTAGCAGCTGATGAAGACATGAAGTCCCTGGTGTCTGGAGCTCAGAACACTCTGTACCACTGTCTAAACATCTCACAATCCCATCTTTTGGAGAAATCTTTTTATGTACATAATGAAACAGAAAGCACAAGTAAGAAGTTCACTCTCACTGCTCTTCAACATACAACTACATATGACCAAAATTATATTTTAATTTCACTTGAAAAAAGCAGTAGGGCTTTAGCTATTGTCGCCAGGTTATTATGAGGATGAGGCACCAAGAGAAATACGCAGCCTGCAGGGAATAAAAAGAGAGAAGAAACCCACCATCAGCAGGTTTAATGTCTTTGAGTCCATGTGGACAGTTTTAAGGTGACAACCTGAAGCCGTTTGGTTCGTCTGTGTATTCCTCTGAGGGGGGGAAGAAAAATCTGAAACTTCATGGGTGTGGCCTGGTGAGGGGAAAGAGAGGGAATGGAGAGAGAGGGAAAACAGGGTGATGTGTGTGCTGTGATTTCAGAGCTGGGTGGGTCTACACTGTTTCATATTCCCAAATATCTCCCGGTCCGTGCGTAAAAAGCGCTTTCAGGTAACGTTTTTCCACGTTTCTTTGCTTCTTGCACAGTTATGTCTCTTAGTCCGCCATGTGAAATGCTTTAACGCATGATTTGCGACGGGGTTTTCCTGTAAAGTCCGTAAAAAGTGAATTTAGACGCAGTTTAGACTTTTCAGTGGCGCTTTGAAGACTTGTACGGATGTGGCTGCGCGCAAAAAAGTTTTGAAATGACGCACTGCTCCAAACTGTAGATCCACACATACTTTAACAGTTCATGTGTTTAATATGTGTGTATATATAAGTTACAGGTGTGTTTATTGTGCTTTTCTGTCGTCGTATTCTCGCGCTCTTTTCAAAGTTGTTGACTTTCTGCGTAGTGGCCATTTGGGAATGTGCACCGCACAAACAAATGCGCCCTTCTTGTCGACGCAAGCAGCTTAAAGCCATAAAAAAAAATTTAAAAAAAGAGCACCAGAGAAAAACAGCGATGATCCCTGACTGCTGCTAATGGATGAAAATAAGTTGGAGAAGTCTAACGATAGGAAATGAGTTTTAATAGAAGTAAAAAAACAAGCGTAAAACGGTAGAAGCAGAACCGTGTGATGAGTTTGACATCAGATGTGTGTAACTCAAAAATGTGTCTGCGAGGCTTCTGGGGCGAGTTCTGACTTGCATGCTACAACTTTCCTCCCCCCATTTTCTTCCTCCTCCTTTTCTGTTTGAGACAGTGTTTATTTGGGACAGATGAGTGTGTGTGTGTGTGTGAGAGAGGGAGAGTGTGTGTGTCCATGCTTCCTCATGTTAAAAGTCTTTATTACGTAACATACATGGATAAGAAGTAATAGTTTGCATCCTTCCGTCCTTCCTGTTATCAGTTTACAGAAAGCCACAATGTTGGTGCTGGCTGGAATCATTGTTCTGCACATTACCACCATCATCCTACTGCTGGTGGCCACCATCGATAATGTGAGTGGAAGTTATTTCTTTTAATCTTCTCATTTAACAAATGTGGCTGGGAGGGAGAACAGGAGGTTTTATATATGTTTAAACTATAGGTTCTCATTTTCAACATAAATGCAAACATAAAATAAAACAATATCTATTTCTGTGTGGAAGCTTCAGCTCAGTGTGTCATTGGAACATTTGGAAATAAACAGGATTTAAATGTTGCAATGTTATTTGTAGTTTTTTTTAGCCACCCACATTGCTGAAAATATACAAATCTCTACTGACACATGTTCACCAACCCTAATAAGACTGATATTTTTAACAGACATGTATCACTCAACCACTTTGCAGTTTATTTCAGAACATTCTGTTTCTTTCTTAAAAATATCCCCTCACCTGCACATTCGGTCACACGGCAACTCTCTACTGAATATTTTTTAAAACTAATATTATAATAGCACACTGATTGGTTCTGTCAACACCCGTACAGGCTAACATGAGGGATAACAGCAAAGACTGATGTGTAAATGTGCAAACCTTTCACAATATACAGTATAATATATGTATTCTATCTTTTGTGTATATCTTGATATCTGTTTACTATCTATGTGTCCTCAGGCCTGGTGGGTCACTGACACAGTGTCAACTGATTTGTGGAGGCGATTGGAGTTGTCAAACTCAGTCTGGCACTACACCAACCTGAAGAACTACCCCGAGGGTAAACTCTCACTTTTGTCTCAACAGAGTTCAGACAGTGATCAGACACCACAATAAAAAACAGTTACCTGTTTAACTGTGTATGTTGAGTTGATCAGACAAGAGAATCCAGCTGTTGGGAACAGAGTAGATGATGATTAGAGGTGTAACTGGTCATAAATCAAATCATATACTGTGTAAACTGTTAGTTCTGCAGTGTGTTCATAGGTTATTATATATATTTAACGGGTGTTAATAGTACTAATAGATTAGTCATAATGTCAATACAAACTGTTCAACATTGTGATATATTTGTGTTAATGTTGATTCTGTGTTTTGTTTTTTCTGCTGCAGAATATCTCCAGACGGTGCAGGCCACCTCAGTGCTGGCCTGTATCTTTGCCATCCTGGCCCTGTTTGTGTTTGTGGCCCAGCTTTTCACGCTGCCCAAAGGCCAGAGGTTCACCTTCACTGGCATTTTACAGCTAATCGCCTGTAAGTAACCTGGAGTCAAATGGCTGACCTACAGCTGTAAGACATCCTGACATGTGTTTGTTTGTTTCATATAACTGGTGGTTTGAAACCTCAGTGTTTTCAGACTTGTATGTGAACGTAACACCTTTCAGTTTCCAGCTTAGCAGAGCAAAGTGTGAAGTGTTTTTGTGAGGAGTGTGCTAAAAGATCCCCAGACAATGTTGTGTGTGTCCAGATATCCACTGGAAGCAGAGGTCCAGACCTACAATACATAAATAATAAATAATCCCAAACTTGCCCATCAAAAATTGTCCTTTAGTCGTAAACCCAGAGGTATTGATTTGAGAGGGCAAAGAAAACCAGCAAAATGTCATTCTAATTAGTCAGCAAACATGGGCAGACTATTAATAATTATGAGATTAAATAATTATCAATGCGTCACTCCATAATTTACAATATTCATTAGAGTATTGAAAAATGTAGATGTTGAATTTATGTCACGTTCATGGCACTGAACTGTTTTGTTAGCACCTAATCTTTTATTTAAAATCGTATATATAAGTGTTGTGACAGATTTTGTTAAAACATAATATCGTCTCTCAAGAATAATTCATGTTACAATTAAATAAAATGGTTTATCACTTCTTCTAGTGCACAAGCTCAGAGGTGAAGTAATTGGATTTTTGACATGTATTGTCTTGAGTTTATATCATCGTAAAACCAATAAGGTGAAACTGTCGTGTTTCTAATTTCCCTGTGATCACAGTAAAACATTTGACTCATGGTCTTTGTTCATGAGCCTTATCTTACGGTAGGAAAAGTAATTACTGTTTAATTGCCTTGTCAACACTCCCCTCTTCTCTCACGCAGGCCTTAGTATAATGATAGCAGCCTCCATCTACACGGCCGAGCTTCACGCCACTGACACAGAGGGAGGGTACGGACACTCCTATGTCCTGGCCTGGATCTCTTTTGTCCTCACCTTTCTCTTAGCAGTTATCTACCTCGTCCTGCGGAAGAAGAGCGAGTGAGATGGGGAGAGGAATGAGGGCAGGGGTCAGATTCCTTTTGAATATGGGAATTTTAAAGAATGGGATTTGCTTCAAAATTTTGTAAAAGAAAATTAAAAAAAAATCTACATCTGCAGCTTGGAAAAATCGGGATACTTGTATTCAATCACTTAAAAGAGCCATTTGTTTCTACTTTGAATATTGTAAATGGAAATAGAAATAATGTAATCAGTACATGAAGGCCTGAACTTTATGTGAACAGTTTTTCGTCCATGACTTCATATTTGGTTGAACTGAGAAGAAGGCAGGGTAGTATTTTACTTTTATTAGAACAGTATGGGGAATAATAGTTGTGATCAGGTGGAAGTGAAGTGCTCATTTCAATGCTTAATGGCCACAACATAATCAGTAAATCATTTATCTCCATCCAATAGCTCGACATCTGGACAAAGACTTACTCGCTTTCTTAGCAAGAATGATGCGCAGGCCAGTACTACACCAACACACAATCTGTATGAAGATAAAGACAGTAAATTATCTTAGCTTAGCATATGCACAGAAACCAGGGGCACGCAAGGAAAACACAACTTGTCTATTAAATATAAAGCTACAGCCAATAACCTACCTTAGCATTAACAGACAACAGGGGACACAAGGAAAACAATCTGTTGCTGCGTTCTGTCAAACCTCGGAGCTCAGAATTGCCGACCCCCAAGTCGGAAAGTTGAACGAACCTCATCGCCTCCCGACTTTGAAGTACAAGTTGGCCGCTCCGTGTCAACAATAGTGAAAGTTGTAATTTTTATAAGCTATAAAGTTGTCATACACAGTACTGTCGTTAAATATGGTGTAATGCGTGCAAACTGGTAACAATGGCTACCTGGCTAAACATTGTTCTTGTGCAACTGGAACACTTTCAACTTGGGTTATTGGGGTGCTCCGAGGTATAATGGAACGCAGAAAACAGGGACACAAGGAAAACACTATATGCCAACCAACACCTCAACAGTTCAGTTATAATTTGAGCTTTTAATTATCCCCATTAGATCTTGTTTAAGTGCACTGGTGCTGGTTGGCAGTTTGATTTGCTTTGGACAAAGCTATGCTAGCTGTTACCCCATTTTCTGTCTCTATACTAAGATACACTAGCCCTCAATGTAGAGATAAGAGTGGTATCAATTCTCTAATCTAGAACTCATCCAGAAAGCATTTGAGCAGAAATCCCAAAATGTCAAACTACTGCATTTGGAGTCTTAAGTTCCTGGTGTGAGAAGGTTAAAAGCCTTTTGAGATGTAGTAGTTGAACATATTCTGTGATTTCAAAGTACTCATCATCCTGTATAATTACATAGTGAGGCTGACAGCTACTACTGCAGTTGTCCAGATTTGAGGAATGAAAATAAAATCTGTATCTGAGGGTACGGTGTGTTGGGAAAACAACAGCATTCCTTTTTGCAGAACTTGAACAATCAGGAAAGACAAGCCTTAAGTTACAGTACAAGTAGTTTTAATCATGTATCGTTATTTTACAACTGAAGTATAATGTATCCTTTTTAATCTATGTACATTGTAACCATTATATTTTTGTAACATTTTGTATGAGTGTTCTTTTTTTTTTTTTTTTAGTAATGTTTGATTTTGTGTCTGTAGTTGGCTGCTATCCTAAGAAAAGTACATGTAATTTGTACAAGTGAACCAGGGATGGAGGACAATGGTGTTTTATTTCACCATATTGTAGAACTATACAATAGAAGGTTTTGTTTGTAATTACATTGGAATAAAAGCCATATCATTTATTAATAAAAACCAATAACTCAAGCCATCCATGTTTCATCTATTGAACTGCTATAAATACAATAAAATCCAAAACAGTCACTATTACATAATAATTATGTAGGTATTATTAGTCCAGTTCACTCAAGTAAGATCACATTTTAAACAATTTAAATTCAGTCTTAGGTTATAATTGTGACTAACGTCTTCAACTCAGGGTAATAACAGACAACACTCAGTTCTCCACAAAGATGTTTTTTTAAATAACGAGGGCAAAGTTTTATATTGTGTGCATTTGTTTCGAGTGCAAGTTACAACACTGAAGTTTTGAAAGCAACACTTCTTCAGGCCTTACAACAGACCCAGTCAGAAACAGGAATGTTCCATTATGTGAAGAATTGTTCCCAGAGGAAGTCAGTAAAAGAAACTAGACTGTACTAAATGCCTTGGCCAGACGGCGTGATGCGCTCCTGAACCACCAGGTGGAGAAGGTGGTTCTGCTCAGCCGTCAGAAATGGCCTGAAGGAGGAGGAAAAACACCAACACATAATGAATACGGAGAATTAAGATTCAAAAGCGACGACAGTGCAGCTCAACCCTCATATCAAATAATGAAATTTAACATTCACTCACCACAGCTCAGTCTGAAGAGACTTGAGGGACTCCGTGTCTTTCTCCTGACATGCCATCTGCAAAACAGATTTGCTGTTATAACACTGCACAAATTCTACTTACTGCAAATTCAGATGACCTTGACAAATTCTCAAAGGTCTCCTTGATGTTTGTGCTCTCTTATAGCTTATTTTATTAACATTATTTTGTCACAAAATAGAAGAATATTGTATAAGTATTAATGCTCATTACCACATTGAAAGAAAGGGGGAAAGAAACAGGGAAAGTCTTATAACACAAACACCACTGCAAATATGACATTTTAATTCCACTGGCAAAGGAAGGCATTTCTCACTGTCAATGTGAAGGCCACAAAGACCCATCCTTTTTTCCTGTATGAGGCAAGAAGAACCAGGAAATCCTGTAAAGTGAACTCAGTGAAACTCACCACTACTGACTGCAGGAGCAGGAAAACATTCTCAGGCAGGAAGTTCACTGAAGGAGAGGAAAAGAACCATGTTTACTCGACTTCAGTCAAACGGCATTCAAGGGATTTACAAAGCATTTCTGATTTCCCAGTCAAAAGAGAATATGTGCAATTTAAATGTTTCTGCAAAATAAGTTAAATATTGAGGTGCATTTACCTTGACTGTGAGGGTCAAAGGACTCCCATGCATATCTCTCCAGGGTCTGTGCATGTTCTGGTAACAACTTCTGAGGTGGAGGCTGAACAGTAAGACAGGTTGGAACATTTACATCTTGATGCACAAACAATACAAACATTTTTTCAAGATTTACAGAGAGCAATGCACAGATGTGGGGCAGATAATCAAATCGATTAATTAATATTAATACTCTCAACAATATTTTCCCTAGTGTTGCTGATGTGCAGATCCTTAAAATGTAACTTTTCACTGATGGATGTTAAACAATGATTTAGCCAGGCTGTCATGATGCTGTGTGTCTGTCTTTAAATTACTTTTCATAGCTTTAACAATCATCATCACAGTTGCCCATAAAACCCTGTCAAAATCCACATTTTAATGAGTTAAGAGATGACACTCATTTGATTCATAGTTTGTAAATTAAGGTTTTCCCCCATCATGGTTGTATTTTCTACTTCAGTTACACAGGTATTGTGATGTAGATGGTCATCTTGCAATATCTCATCTTTTTATATAAACTGGCGTACTTACCTCTAACAGCATCAGCAGCAGAACTCTGGAGATCTCACATTTTGCCACAATATCAAGAAATGCACCTACGAGAATGTTAGGGAGATAAAGACAGAAGATGAATGTACCTTAATATTACTTAACAGTGTTCCTGTCACTATAATCAGATCCAACAATTGTATTAAAGCAAAAAGTGAGACACAGATCTTTCAGCTTTTCAATTAAATGTTATGCCATTTTTTTGGTTTATGAAACATTTCATGCAGCCCCTATTTTTGAACATACCACTAAGGATCCTTTTAATCTTTTGTCCACGCATGAGACAATTTTAACAATGTAGAGTCTTTAGATAAATGTTTAGCCTCACCAACAGGGGTGCTGGTGCCTGGTAGCTGCAGTCCTCTCTCCTGACACACAAGCTGCATCTCTGTGAACATCGACAAAGCCCCATCATAGTCACCTGCAGGAACAGAGAAGACAAGTTTAAACTACAGAAAAACAAGTCAAATCAGCTCTGTATGCATATGCAGATACAAAAAACCACTGAAACCAGGTACATAATCAGATGGGATAATCAGACTGAACTCACGGGTGAGAATTTTACACGTAGCTATTTCTCCCATTGACAGCAGAGCTTCAATTGGCGTCTGCGTCTGCAACTCTGCAGCTCTCTGATAATGAACAATGGCCTCTCCTGGTCTGTTCATCTCCTATTGAAAACAGAGGAGGAGCTGAGGTTAACATGTCAGATAAAATATACAGTGAGTAAGTAAAAATCACAGTTCATCTTGTGAACTTCTCTGATTCAAAGTTTTACCTTGAGTGCATTTCCAAGTTCTAGACACAGACTGGCAGCCATCACCGGCTGGTTCATCTCAATGAACACCTGTAAACCAATTGTACATGAGCATTACCCTACTGTCTCATGTGATCACAATACAGGAATGTACATCCTTAATCTGTTCATATACACAAATACTAAACATTTCACAATGAATGTACTATTACTTTAGCTAAAAATTTAAAATCAAACAAGGAATCATGGTGTACCTTAATTGCAAAGCTGTAACAGTTAAGTGCAGCCTGAAGGTGCTCATCAAAGCCCGGGGCCTGCAGGGCCCTGTTCTCCTTCTCAGACAAGAGAAAGAGGCGGGCAGCATCAGTTAATGCCAAGGCCTCTCCAGGAGCATTAAACAGAGTCTGCTCACACCTGCAGTCAAGACATTCAGGATGTGTAACAACAACAGATGTGAACACGTCAGCACTAAAACATGTCATCACTGTGAATGATACACGCTGCCTCTGGGCCAATTCGAAACACCATCTGGTGCTTTACTGTGAAGGACAAGAACATCCTTTTCGATAGGTTTGACCTTGTGCTCAGCACAAACTTGACTTACTCTTCAGTCTTTACTTAACTTATTTTCTTTGCTGTAACAGCCTCCACCTTTCTGGGAAGGGTTTCTAAAAGATTTCATAATCTGATTGAAGGAATTTGCTTCTATTCAATTGAAGTTCAACTGAAGTTATGTCCCTAACATCGCTGGTGGCCCCTAACACCTACTACTAGTAGTTGGTGACCCAAATTGTGCAGAACACCTTAAAACGTACAAGGGATGTTCAACATCTTGTCCTATATTCAAAATGATAATGAGGTCGGCCACTGATGTTGAGTGATAGGGTCTGGGTCTCGGTTGTCATTGTCCCAAAGACGTTGAAGGTCAGGCTCCCCCTGCAGGCTAACAAAGCTCTTGCACACTAAACTAGTAAAGGACCTTGATATGTGCTTGGTGGCAAATACAGAAAGAGGCATTTGCTTAATTGTCATGGTATGTCATGGTATGTCAGAGAATAAAGATTCTTCTTAATCTAAACTAAAGGCGGTCTAGCCACATACAGGCATGCACATATTCATACTATATGCTGAGTGTATATTTTACTGAGTACATTTTTATATAGATGGAAGTAAATACAACCCTTATAACAAATAGGTGTAACCTCATGAAATTATGAAATAAAAATGAATAGTATTTATAGGCAGTATCATTTGATGGCAGTTTGTAGCTTCCTTAAATACAAAGCAGTACTATGTGTATTTTTCACAGGGCTGATCGAACTTCTGCATACAGGACATGAGTGTGTCGTTAGTGTTGAGTGGATCCTCTCACCGAGCCATGGCCAGGTTACAGAAGGCAGCATACTGCAGACAGTCCTGCTGCTTGAGCTCTTTAGCTAACTGACCTGAGAGGACAGGACGAAAAACACGTGATAAGTAACCTAACAACAGACAATTAATAACACACACATACGGAATGTAGAAATATGAAGAAAGGCTAAAACAATCCCTGTAGTGTTGACACAGTGACACTCACCAAACTGTTCACTCGCCTCTGCTACATTTGGTTTCCGGAGAAAACGCCTGCAACAAAGAATTTTATTTTAAACAACTTGGATCAGAAGTTAAATCAAAAGTCAAGAAGCTGAGAAGAGCAATGGAGCTGTACGCTAGGCTAATTAGCACTGGTCATGTTCAGCTACATTTCCACAACAAAGAAACATCGCCCGACATCTCGGTTAACTCCGCTTCACGACTGATTCATTAACCTGGATGAACCTGATCTTTTCATTATAGTTTCCATTACACGAGTTATCGTCAAATCAAACACACGACACTGACTTTAATGACAGGCTAACGCTTAGCTTCGTTTACTAGCACTGGTCGCATTACTGATCTGCAGCATTAATGTCGAGTAGCTTTGCGATAATCCCTGATATCTTCAACTCTTTCGGGACAAATGAGTGTGATGACACTTCTGCTTACTTCTTCAGTTTATTCGACACAGCTCGATATCTGGCCAGGAAATCTCCTTCCGCGGCCATGGTGGATGGAGCAAAACAAACCAGGTCAAACCAGGAAGTGAGAATCTGACAGCAGCGTCTGTATTGGCTCGTTGAATCCAGACACAGCAATTTTATTGGTCGCCATTAGCAAAAGGGTGGGACTTATCAGAAAGGAAATGCCCAAATAAGGAAGTTGTCACATTAAAGAGACAGAGGAAGACTTGGACACATTTGTTTTAATGATGCATATATTACTTTACACTTTTAGTCCTCAACATACATTTTGTATCCAGTTCATGTATTTAAAATCTATATTTACTGGTTCTTAGGTCTCTTTAGAATAGGTTTTGTATTGTTTTATTTATTTATTCATTGTCTGTAAGGTGCTGACCAGAACAAAATTAATTTCTAATAATAATAATAAACAATTCAACAATGTAATGTATCACTGATAGAGGCATAGTGACACTTTTGTATCATACATGAAACAGAATATTTTCAAAAATTTGGTTTTTACTTTGAAATAATCTAAATAGTTTTGCTCTCTCAAAATCTCTCAATCTGGTGAAACTAATGATTCATGATTCAAAGGTTCTCATAGACAGACTCAGATACGTTGTCATCCGGGTGTTCTGTGGTTTGCTCCGTCTGTGAAGGAAGCAGAAGACAGGTAACTAACCGCATGTGTGGTTGTTTTCCTGTGATAACAAAATGTGGCAAAGGACCTAAAGGACCTAAAGTTCAAACTGACGTTTTGGGAGTGGTCGAGCACATCATAAATGGACCTGGGCCGAGCCTCCAGACTCTGAGAAAAAAATAAAAAATGAACACATGAATAAAGAGATGATGGAATCATCTCTACATTGAGTCAAATGTGTGCATGGGTATACACTGATGAATAGAACAGTACTTACAGCATATACAGATGGAGATGGAGCTGTTCTTTTGTCTTCCTCTGTCTCCCTCACCTGTGTTTCTCCTCTGTTCTGCCTTTGCTCCCTGCTGGTTTTTCCACTTATAGTAATCTGCTCTTTCTATAAATGAGAATTAATTACATAAAAAAAGGATAGTCATGCAAAGTGGACAACACTAAAAGAAAATAAAGGCAAATGAGGATTTTGTTGTGATGATGTTGCTCCATCTTAGGTTTTCTGTCATAGGAGGTTAATTATCAAATGCTTGGATTTAATCATTTGTGCCAACTACTATTTCTGGACACCAGTGTAGACCAACTTTCAGAGTTCAGTTATGAAAGACACTAAGTGAGAGGATGAGGTAACAGTGACTGTGTCCTACAGGTCATGGTAACTGAGTGAGACAAGGCCTTTTTTTCACTGGACTATGCCAATGAGCTTAGCCAACTTTCCATTCTGTCTCGATGAATAATACGTGCACTAAGATCCAAAAGAACAACGACTGAGCCTGAATCTGTTTGTAGATGAACATTACTCTGGATCTGGATTTGGGCCTCACAAATCCAGATCCAGAGTTACTCAGTTACCAATTCACAAGTTGTGAACTGGTAACTGAGTAATTGAGTTTGAATCTGGTTTCTGGTCTGCTGGTCAGCTGCTCTTTCTCAGTCAAAGCTTGATGACACTTCAACAAGTTATTTTGTTTTGTTGTAGTTTGCAAAATATCTGTTGCCGTCTAATAAACACTGAAGACTTAAAGTGAAATCTGTGCAGGATTCTACCTAAAGATTTCTTTGATGAAATATTCTTACTCATCCTCATTTTGGAGGATTTTATCTTAAGTGACCTGATCTCTGAAGTGATATGATGTTTGAGCTAAGCCTGATTTGGGTCTAGTGATCCTAATCCTAGACGGTGTCATCTTGTTTTGTCTGACCAGATATTAAATTTATTATCACATAAAACAAAATGCAGTGAATCATCCGAAGATGGAAGTATAATTCAAGTTTCCCATGGACACACTGAAATATATAATGCGGAGGGGGAAGTCCATTAATCGCAAAACAATTACAAAAAGAAGATGTAAGTATCATTTGAAACTTAAGCTGGAAAAATGACTAAAATGAATAACTTATTAAAATAGTCACTAATTAATTTGTCTGAATAGATAGGGCTCCTCTGTATCTGGGGCCTCAGAAACGCACACCTGTCACATCACCACAGTTTAAGTGTGTGAAAAAGAAATATTCTTAGAAATGAACAACACCCAGTTTCTTAACTTCTGCCGTCTTACCCAATGTCCCCTGAAGACATAAATGGAGCCGACCACGCTGAAAACCAGCAGCACACTAGTGACGACGGCCACAGCGATGAATTCTGTGTAATTAAACACAATGGGCTCCTTGTAGCCATTAGCTGGAAAACACACACAATGTTCAGTGTCAGTTTGTGGCAGGATCCATCATAACTGCACAGCAGAGCTACACTGAGAAATTCCTCATCTGTGGAGCAGCTAATGCTCCAGCTAAAGATATTTGAGATCATTTACATGTGTTTAAATCAACTAGAGAGTTATTAGCATCAGTATTAGCCTGCTAACTTCTTCTGGCACGGTCTCATGATAAATTTAAATGTTTTTACCATTGTAAAAAGAGGTAAGAGAGAAAAATGCACATCTGTGAGACACAAAACTGGAAAAATATAGCACAGCATGCTCACTATGAACCTGCCAACACTGAACAAAGTGTAAATACTCAGCTCACAACTTTCTCCAAGATTTAAAGTGACTTTGTGCCAAACTATAATTGGATTTTGTTTGTGTCTTTAGTCTTGGGACCAACTTCATCTCTTAAAAAGTACATTTAATTCTGATTTGCAACATCAAATACTTTTTGTACAACACATAATTGCAACCAGATTACGTCTTAACGTCATGAGGAAATGTGTAATTTACGTGTTTGGCAAGTCACAAACATGTTGTTACTGAAGGTATCGCTTGTTATGACCTCAGCGTTATTAAAGTCTTTAATGGCTGTCGTTAGACGCTCACAGCTCTTGGTTAAGATCATGAAAATATCGTGATCTGGTTTTGTACAGAAAAAGTTTGCAGTGACTTCAGACACTGAGTTTGTTTACATTTAACCAAAAACACATTTCTTTCTCTAACATCACTGAAAATGCTTTTACTGCTTAATTCACACAAAGCTTTGATTACCCAGCTCTGCAGAGGTGAGAAAGGAGACTTTGAATCTTTCAAACACAGTTAATCCTGTCACTTGTCCAAAAGTGCATGTTTATCACAATTTGAAAGATGACCACTTGTCTCCATGACAGTGGTCTTTTCACTCTCACAAGTGTTGACGCTCGTAACAGGTTTGCCTTTGTGATGTTCGAAACATCCTGTCCCAACCACCATATGACTTTTTCTTCACTTATGTGGCAATCACAAAAGAGCTTTCTTTTGATGAAGACATCCATTTGTTCAGGCTAACCTGTGAATGTTATTTTAACATGAGTCAAAAACATTTTCAAGTTACCTGATATTTAAATCGTTAGTTATTGAAAATAAGCAGAAGCTATGCGATAGCAATGAGTAATTTGGTGAAAACTATAGATAACATTGGAAGCTGCGTCTCCACTTTCTTACATCATCCAGATAGATGTATATGTTTTTTTCACTTTCAATTCGACAACAAAAGAACTGGATAGATGTAAAAAATCTGTTTCACGTATATCACAAGGTCTCATATGCTACCTAGACTACTTCACTGCTATCTTTCATTCTTACCTCTCACTCTGAGAAACCAGTACACCCTGGCTGTTTGATACTCGCAGTAGTATTCTCCGGAGCTGGTCATGTTGTTCAGCTGCAGTTTGCTATTAATGACTTTAGGCTTGTCAGTCGTCGCAGGGAGCTCTTTAGTGTATATCCGGTTGTTGTGAGGATCGATGCAACTGATACTGTCTCTACTTTTGTTTTGTTGTTTGAAGATGTGACAGTCAATGGTGAGGTCTTCACCCTCAAAGGCCACAAACACAGTGGTATCCAGAGACAAGTCTGTGTCAGGACAAAACACAGAGGTCAGAACTGATAAGTGGATCAGTCAACGTGCCCATACACAGAAGATGAAGATGCAGCAATTTTGATATTTAAATTGTTGTCAGTCATTTTCAAGCACAGCACCAAACCTTTTGTGGTTACAGCTTCTCGAATCACTGTGGAAACTGGGTTTCTCCATACATTTTAAGGTCTTGACCTTATTATGTTGTGATTTGGCCATTAAAGTTGAACTGAACTGAATTCCCTTTATTATAATTCATTCTTCTTCTTGCCATGGATACATTTGTGAAGCACTTTGTAAC